AAAAAAAAAAAAAAAAAAAAAAAAAAAAAAAAATTGATCCTCCTTACCTATCTTACTTACTTTTCTTGCAGTGGTCGGTGCTTCTTCCTGTAGTTTTGACCCTCATTGCAAACCAAGATAAAGATAGTCCAATTGTCAAATATTTAGGAAAGTTATGCTACCCTAAGTGGGCACTCGAAGGCTTTGTCATCGCAAATGCTGAAAGGTAGTTTACATTCTCTTTCTCCCTTTCTATCCATTATATTGGAGTCTATTTAGCATGTTTGTAAGAATGCAGTCTATTTACCATGTTTTAGCTTGCATTTGACAAGCAAAAATGCTCGTATGAAATAATCAATGATGTTTGCCTGATAATGTTTGCATGATGACTTAAGGAAACGATAGTTTCAATCTCAAGGCATAATGATTGCTATTTAACTGCGTTTCTTCTTCCTTTTGGATGGATTCTGTTGAAAAGGTTTTGATGTGATTGTCTTGTCTAAACATCAATGTTGACAGGTACTCTGGTGTATGGTTGATAACTCGCTGTACTTCACTGATGGAAAACGGCTATGATATCCATGACTGGCAACTTTGTTTAGTGATGCTCATTTTGTTTGGGATACTCAGTCGTTTAGCTGCTTTCTTTCTGATGGTCACCTTCCAAAAGAAATGAGATTAGTTTCTTTGTAATGTATGTCACTTCCATGATGTTCGGCATCCACGAATCTCTCTCTCAGCAGTAGGATCCGAATACCAAAATTTTAGTAGATTTGTACAGATTAGATTCATATCATCAAAATAGATTTCCGGGGGGCATTACTTCTTGTAGCTTAATGCTCATTCCTTGATACAGCAGCCCATTACCGTGTAATGCATTGATACCACGGCAAAGTGGCTGGCTATGAAGATGACAATGTAAACATTTGAAATTCGTATAAAGTTTGAACTCTTGCCATTTTCAGGTTCATCCACTCAGCCGTGGGAGGGAGGTCTTTCCCAAACAGATTTCAACACAAAAATTTGTATGAACTTTGTTTGTTCTACCTGGTTGCCACACATGGATGTTTTCTATCATACCCATACAAGCTTGTTTCCTAAACAACGATTGCTAACTCTCAACCCCTGAAAAGAGTACTTGTAAATCGATTAACCGTTTGATATTTAGGACCAAGCCAGCGTCTTGTTGCGAGCTCCACGATTGTATTAAACTAAAAATCGTTTCGAAATCTAAAATATGCGAGAGTGGATTCAAAATTATAACCATTCATTTCTTGAGATTCAATAGCAGGCAGCAATTGCAGTTCATCCAACGATAGACCTAACCTACTGGAGAGTGTTATAACATAATCAAGCCTTCACGAACAAAATGTAAATTCGAAATCTTCACTATGTGTTGAATCCTAAGTAGTTAACCTAAGTTGGCTTATATCCTGAATCTTTTAAATAAATTTCTTAAAAATTTAGAAAGCTTAATATATTGTGAAGAAAGAAAGAGGCTGGTAAACTCCGAGATATTATTACAGCAAGAGGGTGTAACAGTCCAAACTCATCTCTAGCAATATTGTCCTATTTAGGCTTTCTCTCAAGGTTTTTAAAAGGAGTATTTTGGGAGAGGTTTCCACCCTGAATGTTTAGTTTAAACCCATCGCTAGTAGATGTTGTTTTATTTAGACTTTCTCTTCAAGGTTTTTAAAATGAGTCTGCTTGGGAGATGGTGGTTTTTAAAACGAGTTTGCTTGAGAAAGATTTCCACCCTGAATGTTTAGTTCAAACCCATTGCTAATTGTTTTATTTAGACTTTCTCTCAAGGTTTTTAAAACAAGTCTGCTGGTGAGAGGTTTCCACACTGAATGTTCAGTTATCCTCTCGGCTGAATGTTTGGTTATCTTCTCCGATCGACGTGGAATCTGATCGAACAAGACTAATCCAATTATATAAATAGGTTGAGTTTCTTTCCTTAGATGTTAAAACCATATTAGTGAAAGACTTTCATCTGTGTAAGCAGACGGCGGGCAACCGTCCCAAGGCCGTTAAAATAGTAGCGTTACGAGGCCGTCAAACAGTAAAGCCGCTAATAAAATCCACGTGTATTTCTCTGCCGGATTTCAAACGCATATAAACTGAGTAACAAAAGGCAGAGAAGAAAACGTTTGGATTCCCTTTTTTTCCCCCAACGCTTTCTTGGCGGTTTAAAAGCACCACCATTTCCATTTTTGCGGTTTCCAACTTTTCTCTTCCTCTCTTCAAGCTAAGCTCGGATCTTCACCTTCTTCGCTGGTACTTCTCCTCTCTTCTGACAATTTTGAATTTGTTACTTTCTCTGCTACTTCTTGCTTTAGATTCTGCGAGATTGCTGATCGATAGCTTTGAGTCAGTGGACTCGATGGCGACTAGTGGTCAGTTTTAATTTACTGTTTCTTTGACTTCCGGGTGATGAAGGAAAGTGAAGAATACGCTTTCTTCCTTTCCGTATCGTTTCCTTTTTCTTTTGTGTTTGATTGACTATGCTGATTAGCTTCGTGCATTTGCCTTTACATCCGCATTCCGATATTTTCATTTTCCCTACCTCAGAACTCGAAATTTGAAGCTCTATTCCGTCTGAATTGTATCTTTTTCCTTTCGGCATTCAATCGAAAGCCTTTCTTTTGTGAATCTTCTGTGAATTTTAGTCGATCTTTACTTTTCCGTTGTTAGTTTTTTTTTTTTTGGGGGTATTGCATGACTATTTGAAGGTTGTGCAACTAATGCGGAAATTAGAATATGGTTATTCTTATATTTAGGGGATGGGTGTAATACCTATTGAGTATGAAAAGTGGAGGGGTTTTATTTAATTGTCTTGGTCTATTTTTGCTGTTAATGAACTCATTGGATTTAGTATAACAAGAATGGCACCCTTTTTAAACTCAATTACTAAATAGGTGAATTTACATGTTGTAGATCAACATGTTTTGTACAGAAATTGTTAAAGCCTGTGCATTTAAGTAGAGTTGGTTCAGTCGCTAACTGATGAATTTGGGGAAATTATAGCTTTAGTTATTTTTCGTGACTGGTTGAGGTGTAAACTGTAGTTTATTTTATTCATTATCAATATGGGCTAATAATTTCTAATTCAAGCATAATTTTGTGGATAATTATTACCCTTTCAAAAGTTGATGATTTGATCTCCAGCTGCGAAATGGTTGAGCTAAAAGGAATAGTAACTAGTGATTATTTTTTGAATTTCACCATCACTTAATGTCATACTTGAAAGTTCGATAAAAAAGACGAGCAACTTCTTCAAAGGGACCTTGTGAGTTAGTTACATCATTTTGCTAGAAATTAACTTCAATTGTGCCTTTTCAACTTATTATCTCTTAAGGTATTTTGACCTGAGAAGCAGAAGACTTCAGTGAAGTGTTTTATCCCAGTAGTTGACGGTTGATCACAACAATAATCATGTTGATATGCCTTTTCTTGTGGTGCTAGAGCTGCTAATCCGTATCAGGACCTGTAGGATTGAGCTTCAAAGTAAATCACATTATGGATCAAGAAGCGCATTTCTGCCGGAAGTTCACAAATATGAAATCTCATTGGGTGAGAAGTTTTTTTTTTTTACTATTAGGAAGTCGCTTTTACATTTAAATGTTATCCATTGAACACCTAGAATGATTTTCCAAAAATGATTTGTGTGAATGATTTTTCATGATTTGAGTCTTATTGGAGAGTTTTTATATTATCGAGAACACAATTTTATGAACGAGAAACAACTTCTCATTGATAAAATGAAAAGGAAAATGATTAAAGGATACGAACTCCCCAGGGGAGTGGAAAAAGGAAATAGAACCAGAAAACAAGCAAGATCATAAAGTGATTACAAACAAGAGAGAATAGCCAAGAAACAAAAAGGACTCATCAAACCAAAGCTTAGCTCCAAAACAAACTCGAACAACAATCACAATAGCTGAAGATAAAATAAAAAATAAAAATAAAAACAAACAAGAAAAAGCTGGCCAGAAACCTCTTCCAAGAATTAACAATCTAAATTAGAAAATTCGAGATCAAAAGCTCCAAAACTTGAACTGCCAGAATAGAATGCAAAGACTGTAAAAGAGCTCTCTAAAAAACTTGATAAAAAACTAATCTTTAAGAAGTTGGAGAAAGAATTTCTTGTAATTCAAGGCCACAAGCTTCGCTAGGGACTGAAGGGGGAGGAAGGAGAATCTCCTTACCATTTCCATGATAGGAACTCAAAAGCATGGGAAAATGAGTTTTCAATCTCCATATCATCAAAGTGATTAACCATTGGCTCCAATAGAGATTCCACACTGCTTAGACTAACTTGAGATTCAACGTCAAAGTCATCACAATGAGGAGGAAAAAGATAAACTGTTGGGGCTATCGTCGAGTGAATCACCTCATGAGTAAAAAATGTATCTTTTTAAGATAAAACTTTAGGGCTACTAGAAGGGATTGAAGGCTTTGATGGAACTAATGTTGATAAGTTTTGACTACTCCTTGTCTTACAGAGGAGATCAAGAGACATGAACAATTTTCTTAAACTAAATTAGGATCTATAACATTATTCCCAATGGGCGACTGAGAAGAAATTATGAGCTCACTTCTTCGAGCATGATGTAATGATTTTTAACCTCTTTTAACATATATGGGTTTTGCGGGCTCGAGATCTTTAATGGATGCCTCAAAGGGGAACCCATGAATCTTAGAAGGTGGTAAAACACTGATCCTAGATGTGAACAATGGATGCCTTAAAGGGCTGAACAATTTTCTTGAGGGCAAGCACAAGGCTCTTTGAAGCCCCTTCATTCAAAATAATAAAACCTTGAGGGCAAGCACAAAACTCCATAGAGATGACTCCCAACCTTACTAGCTGTCAAAATTTCCTTCAAGAGCCTTCCAAATCTTGATGGCTTTATTATTCCTCTCTATCTATAGTCCCCAGAGAATTGATTAGTAACCAGCCTACCATAACTTCCAATGTACATCACACAAGCGTGGATTTCGTAGCACCTCCTCCACAATAGAGCCATCATCTTTGATCCTAGCACCATTATTAGTTATGAGAGAAATAGTTGCTCAGAGTTGTCATCAAGTTCCACATATTAAGCTATCATGTACGGATCTCAGGATTAGATTGTTGTAGGATTTTGTGATTGTGGCTACCCTTCATGTTGCTTTCTTCCAAGAATCAAAGCTTACAATGGTGGACATAATCTCAGACTTTTTTTTTTTTTTTTTTTTTG